CATGTCATAACAGTCAAGGGCCTCTGTGGATTCTGAGAAGCTGACTTCTCCCTCCTTCACTCTGTTTAGAGAAGGCGAGCAAATTATAATGCCTGCCTCACTAAGAAGAGAACCAATTTTTTTGTTTTGCTCATCCATCTTCTCCTGCTGCTCCCTTAAAATGCTTCTCAAGAACCTCAGTCCTGCATAGAGTATTTGCATTTCATCTTTCATAGAATCCACAAAGCTAGAGCTGCAGCATAACAGCTCCCAGAGACAACTTATCAAAGAATCATTGAAGCTGTTCAATATCTGCTTATCCATCATTCTATCATGCAAGGATTTTGAGGATCTTGTAGCTCTAAGAACTTCCTTATAAATCTCGTAGACATGAAAATCGACAGCTCTGATCTTCTGTTGTTGATCATATATCATGGAGTAGAACTGAGGATTGTGCATTTCCTCAGCATCATACCAATAAGAACACATGTAAGAGAGGCGTGCTGCGTTCAAAGCCACCACTTCGAAGTGCGCCAATAGCAAGGCAGGAATATCTGCAGTTCCTCTCATATTGGCAAAGGGAATGAAGCTTTTCAAGAATGTTAGCTTTGCTTCAAGGGCTTGGACTTGAGCATCCAAAGCAGCAGAAATAGATGATTCACTAATTTTCCAATCCATATAGCCATTTGTCAAATCTGCTAGATTTTGTAGGATGAGGCCTATGAATTCCAACAGTTCATCATCTGTCATACAAGAATTTGATTGCAATGACCTGCTGCTTGCCAAAGCAAAGTAAATTTGGATGATTTCTTGCTTCAGTGATTTGATCTGTTTCACAAGTTTCCTGAACATGCTATAATAACTACCAATAGTGTAGTTCTCAATTTCTTGTTTATCCGTTTCTGATCTAAGGGAAAGAGAGTGAATATCCTCCTCATATTTGTGAAAGGTATCTTCGATGCAAGATAAGAAAGATGGAAGACTCACCTTCTTCACAACATTGTCAGATTCCAAGTACAAATCATTGCTTTGGCTCCGCTTTCTTGCACACATAAGAAATGTTTTGAGAAATTTCATGTGTTTGATTGCAACACGAATATCGACAGGAACATACCGGTCTGGGAAGCTGTTCTGGAGCGACTCTAGAACAAGTAAGACACGATCGATGCTGCAAGTGGAGGCCATCTCCATCTCTTATGGAGGGATTTTCGTCACTCTCAAATTCTAAGAGAGAAACAAATCTCACTAACTGCAGAGCTAGCAAAGTATTTCTTTCCTGAAAAAAACACTTCTTTGCTTTTCTTATTTGTTTCTGGTGAGAAGGTGAAGAAGACTATTGAGATAATCAACTATTCAACTAGGTGGAATTGGCATCAAGGTGGACCCCAGGCAGTGATAATCAATTATTTAACTAGGTGGAAACTGTGGAATTGGAGCTGGGCACGTATTTATCTTGAACTAATTACAAATGGAGGAAATTGATAAAGATTAGTTGACTCTGTCATCAACATTTTATTAGGAAAATTTGATATTAGGGATCACATAAAAGCCAATGTTTGATTAGGGTGATTAGGGTGATTTAAGACACTTTGATGATTTTATTGTCTAAAGTAGGGGTGCAAATGAGCCGAACTCGAGTCGAGCTTTGGCTAATCGAGCCGAACTCGAGTTAATTTTGTGAAACTCGAACTCGAGCTTGAACTCGAGCTCGACGAGCTCAAAATATCAAGCTCGAGCTCGAGCTCAAGTCAAATTCGAGTCGAGCTCGAGCTTAAAAAATAAAAAAAATAATTATTATTATTTTATTTTTAAAAAATAAAAAATAATTTTTAAAAAAAAAAGTAAATAAAATAATAATTTTTTAACAAATAATAAAATATTAGGGATATATATAATTTTACTATTAAAATAAAAAATAAAAATTATATATATAATTGAGCTCGCGCGCCGCTTGCGAGCCAACGAGCTTAATGTTTTTGAACTCGAGCTCGAGATCGACTTAATTAGCTCGAACTCGATATTGACGAGCTCGAGTCGAGCTCGTATTCGATCGCGAGCGGCTCGATTCGCGAAACACCCCTAGTCCAAAGTATGTAGGATCATAATTAAAGTTGGGATTAAAGTGGTGGCCTCAGTGCTTGTGGACCATTGGCAAATAGTGGGTCCGGTTTTATAGAATTATTGGGAATTATTGTGTTCCATTCTTTTCACGAAGCAATCAGTTTAATATTTTTTTTTTCTTCAAGCATCCACAGTTTAATATGTTAAACTTTATAATTAGGAAGAACAGAAAATAAAGAAACATCAAAATATAAATGATCCAAGAGACATCAAAATATAAATTATCAAATATAATGAACCTTCGAGCTAGCACTCTAATTTTCTTCAATTATTTTCTTTGTTGAGCAAACCACTAAATTCGATCACTTTCTCTTTTAATTCTCTCGTATTAATAATCATGACCATTGATCTTGGAGATTAATAACCATCACCAACAAACTAAAAAGTATGAGAAAAAAAATTGAGGGCTTCTTCAACCCTTGAAATTGTGGAAGCAAAGAATTTGGAATTTCTGCGTTTCCTAGTGTCAATTATATCATAAAATATATGCATTACAATAATAAATGTAAACTCTAAGATAATAAATATAAACAGTAAAACAATAACTTGCAAAATTAATGTTACCAATATACAACGGTCAAAGAAAATGATTGGATTAAAGAATTGACGGACAGAAAACTCTCTAGTAGTTAAGCATGCCCACACCAGATGATCGCACTTAAGGCAAGAAAATTCATGTCGGCGGTCAAAAGACTCCATAGCAGTTAGGCGTGCCCACGCCAGATGGTCACGCTTAAGGATCAAAATTTCGGGTGGATAGTCACGATTAAATATTGTTAATTTAATCCAGTGGCGGATCTACACTAGGGGCACTGGGGGCACGGGCCCCTACTGCCCCCTTAAATTTCTATGATAGTTATAAAAATTTGATGTAATTTCAATTGTGCCCTCTAAAGTTTTGTGTATCTATTGGTTTATAAGCCCCCACTGTCCCCCTTAAATTTCTATAATACCTATAAAAATTTGATGTAATTTCAAGTGTGCTCTTTGGAGTTTTGTGTATCTATTGATTTATATACTTTTAAAATTGTTTTTGATTTTACCTGTTGTTACACTTGCAACTACCGTAGAAAGGGTTTTTTTAATGATGAGTATAGTGAAGAATCGGTTTATAAAATAAAATGGAAGACACTTGGATGAATAATTGTTTAGTTACTTATATTGAAAAAAATATATTTCGTGAAATTCATAATGAAAAGGTTGTGAATCGTTATCAAAATATGAAAACTCGTCATGAGCAATTGTAAATGGTTGAGTTTGCTTTTGAAATACAATTATTATTACATTAATAATTTTGAATTTGTCTTTTGATGTTTTTCACAAAATATATGTATTATTTATACTTGTTGGTAAATATTTTTTTCCTTAAAAAACTAAAAAAAGAGTAGGAAAAAAATTTTAGAGTTATGTTTGCCTCCACTGAAAATTTTTTCTAGCTCCGCCACTAATTTAATCTTAGTTAATTTTCATATGTATATTTTGTGATTAAATTGATTAGTTAGTTTAATATCCAAAATCTCCCTTTTATTCATTGCTTCGAAAAGAAATAAATTAGTTCACCTGTAGAGATGATCCTAATTACCGCAGAATACAAGATCTTATTTTTTAGACTAGATATTTTATTTTGATTGGCTCACAACCTGTCAATGCTTTCCCTTGGTAACCTTATTAACATATTTATCCATCATTCTCATAAGAAAAAGCTAGTCTAAACAAGGAATCAACTGTACGATTACCATCTTCCAAGGCCATAGCCAAGGGGTTAATATCCTCTCTATTGGATTCCTCTCCATTGTTCTCTACACTTATTTATATTTAAATTTTTATAACTCTATAAGTTCATCTGATTGTGTTATTATTTCTCTTTTTTTATATCTAGATCAATATATTAAAAAAATGATATTCTTTTGCTTATATTTTGGTATTCAATTTATACTAAACATTTGAATGGTGAAAAATGAGTCAAAATTATAAAAAAAAATAATGATTAATTAACAGGCAAAACTTAATCAATTTTATGCAAAATTTTATGTATAACTAATACAATTCATGAAATACATTATGAATAGTGTTGATTTTCAAAAATAAATTTTAAATTGATTTTATTAGGATGTAATGGAGAAAACCTTTTTCCAATGCAATGGAGAGAAATTTAGTCTCATAGCCAAGTATGCAATCGAGCTAGCTATAGATGTAACAGGTTATATTGAACAAGTATTGTTGAGAAAAATTGCATGGTATCAAAAATATTTGCTTTACTTTCGAAAGTTATAGTGTGAATTTGACTCAAGGTGATCCTTGTAGAACAAAGCTACAGTAAATTCATAGCACATGAAGAGTAGTCCACAAAATGTCCTGTCAGTTTCCTAATTCACCTCAATTTGGTAAGTGACAATGAAACTTTTACATTTCAATTTGGTTTCTTAAGCATAATACTGAGTAGCATAGTTACTTGGGATTACCACGACAAGCAAGCAGATCATATTGCACTGACGTAGACGTTATGTTTTCTGCTGCAAGATTTAGAGGAAATAAAATCTGCTATTAAACTGAAAGACTATTTATATATTTTTTAGAAAAAATTATTTTGGATTCTGAACTTCTAGTTTATTGACTTTGATAAGTACATTATTAAAAATTTTCCACCACTAAAAGTATCAACTCAGTTAAACCGTTATCATATAGCACAATCATTGCACGGTTGGAATATCACCATGTATTAGTATAACTTGAGAAACAGAGACTTTTAAAATTATTCAAATCTCATTTTTTTTTTCTTTTGATTCTATATTAATTAGCCCAAAATTCATTGTATTAATTGTCTAGGTTCACTCGACATAGCTTATAAATAGACGCATCAAACTATTGTACAATTGTGAAATGTATACACGTTTTCTCTTTAATTTGTATATTTTATCCCCTGGCTCCATATATCATCTAAAACATATGGTGTGGAATTCAAAAATAGAAGATTAAATATTGAAACAATCATATCACCTTTAAAGCTCTTTGGAGAATCAATTATTTTACTGATGCCCTTTCCAAGCAATTTGCTCAAGCAGCATAAAACCAAGTTGTAGACATCCTTTGCAAAAATACTCCAACTTGATTCTGAAAATTTAGCAAATCTCAAAGTCGGATATCCTAAATCCAAACCTAAGATTGAGCATACATCTTCAACCAATTCTTCGATGGAGTACTATTCTATCCTGATCAAGCCACGTAATGCCTTTTGCGACCCCCAATTGCAATTTTTACCTTAAACCTGTTTTGAGCAGAAAAGAGATGATCATAAAGGTTTCCTTTTGACATGAATTTGGAGATCAAAAATCTGCAGTTAATTTTCAAATTGGGCTGTCATATTCTTCCAAGAATCATGAGCACAAACATAAATTGTTAATCAATTCTGTCAAAATGATGGAGTTTGAACAAAGATAATTAAAAAAAAAAAAAGAAGATAACAAAGTTCCTTGACAGCAAATTGACAAGAAAAGAAATAGCACACAACCATCACTAAATTCAGCAAAACGAAATTATACAAAATATGCCAACAGCAAAATATCTGAATAACCTTTATGCTGCCGTGCATATTGATAAAATGGTGCACGGTGTACAAATCTCATTGATTGTTTCCACCATAGCTTGACAAGGAAAGAGTCATCGAATCCTTTTAACTTTTACAATCTCAAGAGGAAAAATTACCGTAGCACTCCCTGATGATATCATCAAGAAAAAATAGAGCAATAATTAGTTGTTTGTTCATCAATTTCATGAACAAAAGAAAAAAAAAAGAGCATTTAATTAGTTGTTTGTTCATCAATTTCAATGTGCTCGTGCATGCAATACAGGCAACTGAAGTACAAAAAAGCTAGCAAAAGGTATATATAAATTAAACTCATTTAAAAGAAAAAACATGATTATTTCTATAAGCCAATTAACAGTAATGACAAAAAAAAAATACCAGATATCGCACCAGCTGATGCCCTCCCTTCAATCTATGATGATGATCTTCAGCTTCTCATTTCCATAATTTTTATGTGCTTCTTCAATTTCCCGTGTCAAAGATTTGACACCATCTCCGCAATATAGCACTTCAATTGTTTCAAGAGTTGATATACGCCCTAAACAAGAAGGCATCATTTCCAAATTAGAAATTTCGTTGAGTATTAATTGCTGAAGGCACGGCAAGTAATCAACACTGTCAGGGTCTGTCTCTATCCACTCAACAATCACTACAGATTGCAAAGTCAAGACCTTGAGTTTTGGGAATCCTCCTTCCATCAGTTCCCATCTTTGGCCGTCCATTGACCACCTTCTTAATTTGAGGACTTCAAGATTGGGTAGTTGTTCAATCAATGACATTTTTCTACAGGGAAGACCCAGACCGCCAAGACTCAACTTCTTCAAATTCATGGGAAAAGAAAGCTCAACATGTTCCCGCGAACCTGAGAACTTGTAGCCCCCCAAGGTGAGTGATTCTAGACATTCTAGTCGACTCATGTTGCAGCATACTCTGTTTGGTCGGCCACAATTGAAAATTTTAAGTCGGCGAACGTTGGGAATCCTTCTCAATAAGTTCTCTCCCTCTTGATCAAGATAAAGATGCAGTCTAGAGAGTGTATCTAAATTGGGTAAAGTGGAGAGGTTTTCAACAACGTTGTCGTTGGAAGAGAAAGGAACAACGATACCCTGCCTTAAATGTACATGCCTCAACTTCTTCATGTCCCAGATGCTATCTGGCAATGATACCGTCCGGTGAGAATTTAGACGGAAGGTTTCCAAATGTGAGAGCTTGGCTATAGATGGTGAAATGAATCCCATGGACTGAGCTGTACGAAGGGCTAAGTACCTCAAACGAAGAAGTGATTCGACTTCAGTTGTAAGCTCCTTCAACATTAGGTTAATGTCCTCTAAATTCAAAACTTTAAGATGTTGGTAGATGCAAAAAAAGGAGATATTAAGCAACCCAAACTTAAATCCTGGAGTAGCATTGAAGAATAGCAGAGTATCTAAATCTGGACAAAATAGTTTTGACTTCACAAAATCTTCTTCACTGCAGCAAATGGACAACCGAGGTAGGTTGGGAGGCTCATTAAAGGTAGAAAGCTCATCATATCCTCGCAAGACCTGAAGAAATTTCTTTTCTTTCGCCTCAGTCTTACAGAACTCTAATATCAAATCATGAATGTAACAAGTTTTGACTCCACCAATGGATCTGTTTTTACTTACCATAACTAAGTTTCGATGAATTAGGTCCATCAGATATTCTTCTGCAATATCCTCTGATCTCTCTCCTTCAATTTTTTCCACAAACTCTTCTGCAATCCAGAGACACATCAACTTCTTGGCAGCAATTTTTTCATCCTCCCGAAATGCAGCAAAATACAGCAAGCATGCCTTCAAGTGATATGGTAAATGCTCATAACTGAGCTCCAACGACTTTTTGCATTGTTCTGCATCAGAAAGCGTGGTTGAAGTTAAACTTTCAGCAAATTCTTCCCAAACACAAATATCATGCTCTATAGTTGCTAGGACTCCAGCTACAACAACAAGTGCAAGTGGCAATCCCTTGCACTTTTCGGCTATCTCCATTCCCAATCCATGCAATGCTTGAGGACAATCTTCTTTTCCAAAAACCTTCTTCTGCAGTAATTCAAAACTTTCTTTCTCATTGAGTGGGTGAAGATAGTGAGGTTCTCCACCATATTGAACCTGTGAAGCTACATTAGAAGATCGACTTGTAAAGAGGATTCTACTCCTGTTTTTGTCATCTGGGAATGAATATCTCATCTCATTCCATTCCCTAAAGCCCCAGACATCATCAAAAACAACAAGATACCTCTTCATCTTCAGCCTTTGATAGAGCTTATGAAGCAATTCATGTTCATTCAAGTTTTTAAGCTCTTCATCCATCCTAGACTGTTTTCCATCAGAGCACAAAATTTGTATTAGCAAGCTTTTCATGTTAAATTCTTGAGAAACAGTGCACCAAAGACGTATGTGGAAGTTACAGATTACTGAACTATCATTGTAAACTTTTTTGGCTAAAGTTGTCTTACCAACCCCAGCCATTCCCACAATGGGAACAATTTCCACCTGTTTTGGTCCCCATATAAGTCGTTCAATTACTTTTGCTGCCTCATCATCAAGACCAACTATGACTTCCTGGGCTATTGGCATTTTACCTTTTGATAGCATGTGGCTGGAAGTCTTGCTAACTTCTGGTCCTCTTAAGCTATGAAAGGAAGGAAGACTTTCAATAATGCTTGAGCCACTGATCTGATCCTTAAATTGATTGATATGGATGTTGGTATTAGCCAGCATATCATAACAGTCAAGGGCCTCTGTGGATTCTGAGAAGCTAACTTCTCCTTCCTTCACTCTGTTTAGAGAAGGCGAGGAAATTATAATGCTTGCCTCACTAAGAAGAGCACCAATTTTTTCGTTTTGCTCATCCATCTTCTCCTGCTGCTCCCTTAAAATGCTTCTCAAAAACCTCAGTCCTGCATAGAGTATTCGCATTTCATCTTTCATAGAATCCACAAAGCTAGAGCTACAGCATAACAGCTCCCAGAGACAACTTATGAGAGAATCATTGAAGTTGTTCAATATCTGCTTATCCATCATTCTATTATGCAATGATATTGAGGATCTTGTAGCTCTAAGAACTTCCATATAAATCTCATAGACTTGAAAATCAATAGGTGTGATTTTCTGTTGTTGCTCATATATCATGGAGCAGAACTCAGGATTGCAGAACTCATCATCCCAACAAGAACACATGTAAGAGAGGCGTGCTGCGTTCAAAGCCACCACTTCAAAGTGAGCCAACAGCAAGGCAGGAATATCTACAGTTCCTCGCAATTTGGCAAATGGAATTGAGCTTTTCAAGAATGTTAGCTTTGCTTCAAGGGCTTGGACTTGAGCACTAACTTGGGGATCCATTTCAACAATACACAAATCGATAGTTGTTAAATCCACTAGATTTTGTAGAATGAGGTCTATAAATTCCATTAGTTCATCAACTGGCATGCAAGAATTTGATTCCAATGATCTGCTGCTTTCCAAAGTAAAGTAAACTTGAATGATTTCTTGCTTAAATGATTTGATCTGTTTCAAAAATTTAAAAAACACTTCATCGCCAACATCTTTCATGCCAATTGCATCAGATTCCAACATAAGGCGAAGAGAGTGAATGTCCTCCTCATATTGGTGAACGGTATCTTCAATGCAAGATAAAAAGGATGGAAGACTTACCTTATTCCCAACAATCTCAGTTTCCAAGTGCAAATCATTGCTGTAGCTCCACTTTCTTGCACACATAACAAATGTTTTGAGAAATGTTATATCCAGGTACGCAGCTTCAATTTTGAGAAATGTTACACCCACGTACGCATTTCCAATTTTGCGGTACATGACGTTGAGGTTGTCCACAAGCAACTTTAGATCAAGGAAGACACGATCGACGCTGCAAGTGGAGGCCACGTCCATCTGTTGTGCAGGGATTTTTCCTTAGTTTCACTCTCAAATTTTAAGGGAGAAACAGATCTCGCCAACTGCAGAGCAAGCAGCAAGTATTTCTTTCCTTGAATTTTTTTTCCTTGTGGGAAGGTGAAGAAGAGAAATGAGATAATAAATTATTCAACAGACAAACGGAGCAAGGTCAAGAAAGAACAGATCAATCAAAGTTAACGAGAGAGCGGTCAAATAATCTGGAAATGATCTTGGTTTGAATAAAGTAAAGAAATTTTATTGACTACTACTGCAAAGTTTTTAAAATTGAAACTAAATCAGTAGAGGAAGAAACATATGCAAGTGCTGGGCTCGGTGCATGCGAACCCTTCACAAGTAGTGGTGGGTCGGGTTTCATATGATTCTTGGAAATTATTATTGTATTCCATTCCCACACAATGGGGTCCACGGACCGGAATTATTGCTGCACGTCCCTGTTTTTGCAATAATTCCACAGTTTAATAAGTTAAAATTCATACTCCCTCCGTCCCAATTATTTATTCCGATGCAAGTTGGGCAACCAGTGTATGTGACAAAGTGTCTACTTCTAGATGGATTTTTATGTTGGGTGGAGGAGCTGTTTCTTGGGCATCAAAGAAACAAACTGTCATAACTCATTCCACCATGGAGGCTGAATTTGTAGCCTTAGCAGCTACATGCAAAGAGGCCGAATGGCTAAGAAACTTATTGTTAGACATCGAGTTGTGGCCAAAACCAATCACCTGAGATCCTCGGTGGCATGTTTTCTATGCCAATCCAATGCCACTTATAGTATTGCGCCAAGTGTATTGTTATTATTTACACTTTAATTTTCTAATAATTCAACTTGGTTTGGTTTAACACAAGTGTAAATAATAACATGATACTTGGCGTAATACTATAGGTGGCATTGAATTGGCATAGAAAACATGTCACCGAGGATCCCAAGTGTTATTTAATGCCCTATTTGAAATTTGAGTTTTTTAAAATTTTATCTAAAATTTTATTGTAGTGCATTGTAGAAGTTTTTGAAAAAATTTTTTAAAATGAAAAACTTTTTTTTCCTTTTCTTTTTTTTTCTTTCTTTTTCTCTTTCTTTCTTTCTTTCCTTTTTCTTTTCTTTCCTCTCTTCTTCTGCTTCTTCCTTCCCCCTCCCCCTTCCCTCCCCCGTCACCTCTGCCTCCAACATTGAAGAAGCAGCAGACAAGGTCCAAAATTTTTTTTTCTAAGAAGGCCGTGCGGATTTTGTACCCTGCAAATTTTGAACACCTCACTGTCATAAGGTGTGCCTGAAGACGTCATCATCTACCCTCTTTTTACGTCATCTTCCTCTGCCTTGGTTCTAGTTGTCTTCCTTTTTCTCCTTTACTGCAAAGTGTATGCTGTAACAATGAAGCTTTACTGCAAAACGGAATAGTTGGGAAGGATCAGCTTTCTGCATCTCGTTATACAAAGCCTATTGGCAGGGACCATCACTTTCTGAATTTTGTCCATTAAAGAGGCACCTTTATTCCTTTTGCCTTGACTGCAAAATAATCAGGTCGTCATCTCCTTTTCATTTCCCCCAAATGCTTTTCGTTTTTTTTTTTTTATGTTTTTTAACATGTCCCTCTTTTGTTCTTTGCGCCTATATTTTTGCTTCATGATCTAAAGCACCGATGGAAATTTCCCATGGAAAGAAGACAAGAAGTTTCCCACGGAAATACCAGTCTCCATCTCACAATACCCGCACCAAATCAGCTTTGAAAAGCTTAAAGCCATTTTATTTCTTTTTTCCAGAGAGGGGGAGGGGAAGGAGTGGGGGAGAGGGGAGGGAAGAAGAGGGGGAGGGAGAGAAAAAAAAAAGAAAAAAGAAAGAGAGGGGTTGCAGATCCGTCAAAGGGGGAGGGGGAGGATAGGAGAGGGGGAGAGGGAGAGGAAAAAAAAAAGAATGTCGGAGCCAGAATAGGTGACCGGCGCCGGAAGCAGTGGCGGAGGTGGTGGCCGACGATGAAGATGAAGGTGTGGTGGATCCGGATGGGGGAGAAAAAAAAAAAGAAAAGATGTAGTTTTTTGTGTATTAGATATTTTGAAGTGTGTAGATTAAAAAATTTGATAAATTTTTTTGGGGTTCCTGTAACAAAAGTTATTAAAAAACTAGTAACAAACAAACTTGCCAAAAAACTTGGGTTCCAAACAGGGCCATTATGTTTGGGAATCCAACCTTTTAAAAATAGATTTGATTATGATGTTTGTACTTCTTTTTTCAATTTTGCCCGTACAAATTCAAATTTTAAATTTGAATAATAATATGCATATGGTTAGAAAGAAAGATTATATTGGAAAGAGAGACTAAAAGTTGTTTTGACTTTTTGAACATGACAAATGTTTTGAGACATCTCAAAATGAAAAGGATGACAATTTCAATGAAATGAGGAGAGTAACTAAGAAGTCGTATTTTTATAGCAGACACGGAGTAAGAGTTGAGTCTTTTAATTCATCCATGTTTAAAATATGACAATTTTTTTCAATTATGGTTAAGCTAGTATCTTATTTCGTGTGGGTATTAGGAAGAACAAAAAGAATAAAGAAACATCAAAATATAAATGATCCAAGAGACTTTTATTATTGGGAGTATAGAGATATAAACACAAATACAGCTTTAGCTGATTTCTTTTCATTTTTTATTTTAGCATGAACCTTCAAGCTAGCTATCTAATTTTCTTCAATTGTTTTCTTTGTCGAGCAAACCACTAAATTTGATCACTTTCTCTTCTAATTCTCTGGCATCAATAATCATGACTATTGATCTGGGAGATTAATAATCATGACCAACAAAGTAAAGAATCTAAGAAAATAAATGAAGGCTTCTTCAACCCTTGAGATTGTGGAAGCCGAGAATTTGGGATTTGTTCAATTACTAGTGTCAATTATACCATAAAATATCTGTATTATCATAATAAATATAAATACTAAGATAATAAATATAAACAATAAAACAATAATGTGCAAAATTAATATTACCTGAGTGCATTAATGTTACCAATATACAATGGTCAAAGAAAATGATTGGATTAAAAAGGGGAAATTTCTACTAGTTAACAGTAGTACTTCTTTTCAAGAGTCAAGACATAAATGCATGCTAATTATTTGTACAAAATTATATGTTTATTTCATAAACACATTTTTATTTCATATATATCACATCAAAATAGTGATACAATACTTTTTTAAAAAATTATGCCAAATAATCTCATATTCAAACACAAGAATATGCCCATTTGAGTGTTACTTGGGCCATTTGAAATTAATTTAAGTCTTCTCAGTGGTTTTCTTGTAAGACTTAATTGTGACCCACATAATTAATTTTAAAATGATTGATATCCTGATTAATTGATTGATTTTTTGTTAACAATTAATTAGTATATCCTATTTGATAATGATTGATTGACATCTTTTGTTAATTGATTGATATCTTATTCAATCAGTTAATCAATCAAATTAATCAATTAGTCATAGATATTATTCTCAGCTATGATTTATGGTAATATTTCCTTGATAGAAGGAAACCCTGGGGATTTTTGTATTTGCTAGTAAGGGTCCTTAATCTAACTTATAAATAGTTTGTGGTATTCTATCAATTATACATTTTTGGATTAGGCATGGGGTAGAATATCCTTACTCTAAATTCTCCTTTTACTTTTCTTCTTTTACATATTTTATTTTGTTAGAATAGACAAGAAGGAGTCAAGACACAAGGAGAGAGGCGTCAAAGGCACAAGGTGTGAGGATTCGAAAATTCTGTTATTTTTTTTAAATCCCTAATTTTGGCTAAAATAATTATTTATTTGGATTATTGCCACGAATAATATTTTCTAGCCTTATTAGACCAAAGTACATGATTTTATAGTTTCGTCATATTTCTAAAATGTCTCATTTCGAAAAAAAAAATAAAATAAAAATATAGATAAATAAACAAATATTTTCATAAAAGCTTAATTAGTGAAAAAATGAAAACGTATCTCAAAACTTTAGCCAATTGGGAGTACAATAAGCTCAAAATTTGAGACCTAAACAATGGTCCTAAAATAGACAATTTTAGGTTTAATTACACAAGTGATAGCTAGTGGTACAATCGTTATAGGAATTTCTCAAAGGTTTCAATTTTTATTGCGCCTAAATTAGAAATACGTGGTTTCACGTGCGCGCTTAATTGGGGGACTTTGGACCATTATTTTGGGACAATTAAGAATGAAAAATATTTATATAAATGTAAGTGTCTTAGAGGTTTAGTGCACTAGTGCAACAAACGTAAGAGAAATCGAACACAAAACGCGCGCGTAAGGTACTAGTTATAATTGATTTGACGTATTAAAAGATTTGACGTCAAGCGTCTTTCGTACGCAAAGGCTTCAGAACCGCATTTCATTTCATTTCATTTCTTCTGCTGCAACGGACGGCTAGCAGCTGTAAGGGACAACCGAAACCTCACCATTTCTTTCTTCCAAAACTCATCCAAATCCTTACCAAAACTTCCATAGATTCTCACCAAACTTCACATTCATTTAGCTTTTCACTTGGACAACAACTTAGTTGCAAAAGGAATGAGCTATCCACGGTTTCTTCAACCTTCAAAGGGCCGAAAAATCTGTCCAAACCAGCCATCAAAGTAGGTAGTAATCAAGCACCTTAAACTTGTCTTATGGAATTTGATCTATGCATTTGAGTTGGAATCTTCACTTTAGTAGCTTGTATTGTTGGAAATGTGGGCTCTATGAACTCCCACTTTGGGTTGATGGCTGTGATGATATTTGATGATGGTTTTATTGCTGAATTAGAGCTTAAGGAAGTAGATTAAAGGTGTATTGTGGCCAGAAACGTTGTTGAACTCTTGAAGCAAAAAGTTCCCATTTTACCCCTGTTCTGTTCGGTCACTTTAATGCAGAAATTTGAGAATTTAATGGCTTGATTGTGTTGTTTATATGTTGTAGTAGTTGTGTAAAAATTTTCATTGAAAAATACTGAGTTTTGGTGGGTCAAACGAATTTACTTCAAAAACTAGTAATCTGGAAAACGGTTTCGCCGTAATCCAGACCAGTGTTTGTATTTCGTCCATAACTCCGTACTCCGACGTTGAAATCAAGTGCCGTTAGCGGCATTTGAAACTAGACGTTTCCATGTTTCCAACGGTGTATAATGCACATTCTGGTTTTAGGTGTGTGAGCCACACCATTCATCTGAAGTCGGCTGTCCTGTTTCTCCGTTCTGCCGAAATGATTTGATGATACTGCAACTTGAGGCTTGATTTTGAACCAGTTGCATGCTGAAACTTAAAACGATTTCTTCTGTGAAA